CAGAGGTCATGGGTTCAAATCCCGTACCAGCCTGAATTTTTTTCAGGTCCTATTCTCAACTACTAGTTCAGTAGTGTTCTAAGCTGTGAGGATCTCTTAAATTTCGTAAATGTATTTCTATTTAAACCATTTATTTATTTAGCTCAGTCTTAGTCTGTTGCTACTTTTATTCCTCTCATTGTTCCATTTCGTCTTACTCCTGTAAATACATCTATCTGAATTAAAGAACTTGATACTTCAACATCGAGATGACAGTCATGGCAGTCAGTTGCTCATTTTAATGCTCTGCCTTTTGAAACCTTTGCTCTCTTATCCAGTGGTTTGTAAACTGCCCCAGTTCATTGGCACACTGCACCATGATTAACCGACAACCCTCTCTTAACTAATCTGTCCTACCATACCATGGACTCAAGAAGCTTCATTTTCACCTCAGCATGTTGGGGTAGCTGCCATGTTGTTTCACAATTTCTGCTTGAAGGCTTCTCTCTATTGCAAGTTACCAATTATTCTAACTCCATTGCAAGTTATCAAATCAATCTAATCCGACTGAGTGGCAATGTGAGCCTGAATCCTAGCCCAAATTGTACCAAACAGCGAAATTTAGCCGTCCAACAGCAACACCATGGTGATCTTTTAGCATCCTATGCAATTTCAAGAAGTGTCCTCAACAAAACAATTATGATATCATTGCCTTGACTAAGGCCCATCTGAATAATTCAGTTTCTGTTGGAGAGATTTTAGCATTCGAATTACACACTTTTTAGACCAGACAAAAAGCTCACTGGAGGCTATGGTGGTGGGGTTTAAATCCCAATATGGGACCATTTCAAAGTTGTTCCTTGGGACTCAGAGTTTCTCTTCGTTGACCTTCTGTTCTCTCACAACTGTACAGCTGCTCTGTGTGTCTTTTATTGACCACCCAATTATGATATTAGGCCCATGGAGGATCTGCAAGCCGTTCTACAAAAGTTATCACCAAAATGAGTTGAGTCTTCAAGCGATTTTGATCTCCTGGAGATCCACTGGTTGAATAACAGAGTTCTGAGAGAATTGGCAATCTGCCATTTACACACTTCTGCTGTACATCGTTCAAGATAATTTCCTGACCTACTTAGGAAATGAGTCTACAAGAGACTCAAATATCCAGGACTTCCTTTTTCTACTCTGCTTGACTTCATCGACCACTTATCTGTCAAAGAGCTTTTCTTAGAACATAATTCTAATAGTTTCTCAGTAATGGGTACCCCTTACATCCAGGGCAAATCACAAAAGTTATTTTATCACTATGGTAAGGCTGACTGGGTTCACCTCAGGTCACTGCTATCCTACATTCACTGGGATTGTGCATTCTTGGACCATGACATCAATAAAAACCGGGTTTGTTGGAAAGATTTGTTTTTCTATGCATTTCATAGGTGTATTCCCAAACGCAGAGGCGAAAAAGAGACCCAATGCCCCCTGGATTATGTAGGAACTGATTGATTTGTGCAAGAAAAAGAAATGAGTGTGAGAGAGCCACCATCTGGGAAAAGTATTAACAGTCAAACAACTCTGTAAAGAGACTCTGTGACAAAGCTTAGTGCACCTAAAAACTAGCCCTTGATCTGCGAGAAAGTAAAGATCTTAAACCGTTTTAGAATTTTGATAAGTCTAAATAAAAAGGGACTAATGATCTTGTGTTCCTAAATGTCAATGAATCTGTTCTGAGAGACAGTTTCAGCATTGCTCAAAAAATGAACTCTCGTTTATCCTTAGCGCTTACATCTCAAGGTCATGCTAATTTTCACACAGTGAGCTGTCATGTACTGGCAGGGGTGCCTCAGGGAACCAAGCTTGGGTTGTGCCTGTTTATTCTTATGATCGACGACATCAACACCAGCAATATGAATCTGTGGAAATATGTGGATGACACAACTATTGCAGAGTGTATTTACAAGAAAGAAGGCAGTCGTATTCAGTCTGATGTGGAGGAACTAATTGCTAAGGCTAATCAAAATAAGTTCCAGCTAAATGAATTGAAATGTGAGGAATTGCAGATTTTGTTCGCTAAATCAGCCGCGGAATTTGCTCCAATTGTTATCAACGGGAAAGCAATAGAGGTAGTTTCTACTGTTAAGTTGTTGGGGCTAAACATTTCTTCCGACCTTCGGTGGAACTGTCATGTTGCTGAAATAAGTAGAAAAGTTGGAAGTCGATTACATTTTCGTAAACAACTGAAGAGGGCGAATATTCCCACCAAAGATCTGCTAATCTTTTACAGAACTTGTATCCACCCAGTAATGGAATACGCATGCCCAGTGTTTCACAACGTGCTTCCTGCATATTTATCTGTGGAGTTAGAACAGCTACAGAAACGTGCCATGCAAATTATTTTTCTGTTTGTTCCATATAGCGACGCATTAAGTCAAGCCAACTAGGAGACGCTCTGCCAACGCAGGCAGTCTATTACCACTAAGCTTTTTGATTCCATCACCTGTAACTCAGACCATAAACTGTATAAGCTCCTGCCTCCTCAGAACAACTGTGAGCTCAATTTGAGACGAAAGAGGAAATTTAATGTTCCTCTAGCTAAGACGAAGAGACTCATAAATACATTCATATATAGTAATTGTAGTTAATCTGTGTACATTTTATACTTTTCTCATACTTTTATTAGATTTTACTATTGTAAGGATTAATCTAATTCAGCTTTTGGCTGTGATTTTAATCAGAATAAACTATCTACTCTACTCTACTCAAACATGTTGAAAGGAAACTTGAACACATCAATTGTTCAGTTGATGAGGTCAGTAGTCACTTTAAAAACTCAAGGCGAACAAGTCCCCTGGTTCTGACAATATTGCACCCTGCATTCTAAAATCAATAAAATGATAATGGAATACTTTGGCAAGACATTGAAAGAAAGTGTCTTGGAAAATTGAGTTCCAGACAATTTGCCCCTCAGACAAGTAGGCCCCAATGTGAAAACACTTAAGTTATTGATTTACAAAAGAAAAAGAAAGCCTGACTGCTCCAACTAGCCTGTCAACCAAATCGATCGTATCCATTTTGGATGAAACAAAATTATCAATGCTCGAATTTATCTCTTTTGTACCTGAACAATTGTATTCATAACAAAAGAGCTACCTACAGTGACCTGCGGTCCTTTAAACATTGAAAAAGGTTTTGTGTTTTACACTTTAATGAAGCAGGAAACGTGTGGGTGTTTGAACCCAGGCCTCTCGGATAAACTCACGTTACACACGTTGCGCACGTTCGCGTTTTTAAGTCAAGCTTTATTTGGCAAGATCAAAACGGAAAAGAAATTAAAATAGGCAAACATAAAGAATTAAAGCCCACAAGGGATGGGCACGAATAACACACTCAGATCCATGCAGGGTTCCTATCCTAGGGGAATATAAGGATTTAAAATATGTATAGAAAAATAAAATCAAGTTGTAGTGAGAGGAAATCTAATTGTAGAAAAATCTAACTGTACAAAATTGTCATCTAAATGTCAATAAATCTAATAGTATTAAAAAGAAATAATAAAAAAACTAAAACTAAATGAAAAACAAATATACATATATGTATATACACACATGTATGTATATACACACATATATTATAGATATATGTGTGTACATACATATATATATATATATATATATATATATATATATTCAGTTAGTGACATGAACATTTGCGAGATATTGACCATGAGCAGACCAGGCTTCAGTGGTGTAACAAAGGTGAGGCCCTTCTATTCCAAAATACAAGGGCCTTCTTACTACTAATTTAGTTAGCAAGGGACATGCTCTCTTCATCAGACCTAAAAGTTTGTTTGCTTTTGCTGTAATTGGGTGTACATGTGAGTCCCAGGTAAGTTTGTCTGAGATAACTATACCCAGATCCTTCCCCTCACGTACATGTAGCAACTTTTCAGGGCCTAAAAAATAGTCTTGAAGTAAAGGCTTTTTCTTGCATGTTACAGCTAGAACTTTGCATTTAGAGGCATTGAATCCTATGTTAGTGTTGAGACTCCAAGAACAGAGGTTTGTCAGAGCTTGTTGTAGTTGTTCACAATCTGCGACAGACAAGATAGAACTGAAGACTTTGGTTTTGTCCACGTAGAGAGCAGATCAAGTATCTTCCAGTAGAACACCTGGCAAATCATAAATAAAAAGAACAAATAGAACTAGACCAATTAGGCTGCCCCGAGGAACTCCTGATGTAACTGGAGCCCATTGCGAGGCAACACCATCCAAAATGACCCTTTGAGATCTTCCACTTAGGTAATCTGTAAACCAGACAAATGTGCTGCCTTCCACACCATATCGTTTGAGCTTTTGAAGCAAAACTGAGTGATTGACGGAATTGAAAGCTTTGGCAAAGTTCAGGTGGATAACATCTGTTTAAATATTTTTGTCCATGTCATGACCAATGCTGAAGAGGACTGATGAATTGTTTAACATGATCATAAAGTGTAATACAGACAAAGCGTTTCAGGAATTTTCCTAGAATACATAACAAGGAAGTAGGCCTATAATTTTCAGCTGGTTCCATAGAGTCCTTTTTATTTACCAGTGTGACATTAGCTTTTTTCCATTCATACGGTATGCGAGAAGTTTGTAAGGAGAGATTGAATTGGGAAAAAGAAAAGGTGTAATTTGATAGTCCTTATTCACAATGACTGCCATCTATGTGCACGTTTAATGATTGATGAAATGAAAGAAGTTTTTTGTATTCTCACGAGCATGGAACAAAGAAAAAATTCTGAGTTCCCATGAGGAATCAAACCTCAGACCTTCAGATTCTGTGCTCCGATGTTCTACCACTGAGCCACAGAGACTATGGTGAGCAAGGTCTATTACAGACTTTATGTGACTTGCATCCTGCATACCGCTAAGATCAGCAATGTTGATAGCGTAAGATAGAAATTAGTCACCTAGCTCAAAACTTACCATCTCTCTTATTTCTATCTACAAACATTACACTATTGACATTGGTGATCCTGGAGTATGCAGGGTGCGTGTCATATGAACTTCATAGTTACTAGCCCAAATGGGTTAGTGGAATGTGCGTGTCATGGAAAAGGCTGCTCGGAAATAAAGTGCACATGGTCTCATTGTGACAAAACTGTTCAGGAAGCTGCAGAAGCACCTGAAACTTGCTTGACTGTCACTTCAGACAAGAGTTTGAAGCTGAAAAATTCTCACACTTACTTCCCTCAGGTACAACTTCACACAGAAGCTTCAAGCACATGCTACTGTAATTTTTTTACTGCACTTCCAGTGATTATCACAAAGAAAGAATCTTTCATGACAGTAAATTTTGGGAGAGAAGCTTACCAAAGCTTAAAACTTTTTCTGAGAAGTGTATCGTTCCTGAACTTATTACTAAAAGGTTGAGGGAAAAGGTGAGGGTACAAGGCTTTATAAAAGACCTTCTAAATGCTCTTCCTGCTGATATCTTTAAAACATGACAGCATATCAAGTTAACTGAGAGAAAACTTTTATCGCTTGTTGTAAGAACTGCAGTGTACAAACAACACAATTATGTATTCTGCTGTAACAATGGTCATTTATTTCCAGAAGGCTAGTTTAGTTATTACTGTTAAACTCACGATTTTTTTATTGGACCTTTTTTTTAATGACAAACACCAATCACATGCAAGACATATAAACTGCAAGCTCTATCCAAATTATACAAGTTCCCTGTGGTTTGATATGGTTTTGCAAGGTGGTCTTGTGATTTGATATGGCATGTGATTAGGTGATTGGTTACAACACAGCTATTAAGGGCCTGATTGAGTTTTGAAGTTCCAGTAAATATTGAATGTCAATCTGTAATTTCCACTTTCAACCCTTAGGAACAAACGCCTTTGAGTCTAGCTTTCACCCTGTACTTTTAGTTTATGGAAAATAAAATAGGCTTTACACCAAACAACTAGCCTATCCAGTGTACAGAAGGATTCTACTTTTCAGTTTTGCGTTTGCAATTGGAGGACTTCTTAGTTAAGGGTAGAAGTGGTGATGTGAGATTGGCCAAAGCACTCACCACAGTGAAAATTTCATAAAGTAAACCATTGTCAATGGAACTCTGAAGTTCAGGATTCTAAAATCCTTAATCTGACCAATATCTCTTTCTATGTGTGTTCTTGCCCTTGCAACACTTGAAGTTTGCTCTACCTTGCCTTTCACAAACTGGGTTCTACCTTTTGTAAATAGAAGAATAACAAGTTAAACTTCCATGCTCAATAGCAAGTCTTGATTGTAAAAACCTCAATCTGCCATGCAAATATCCTTGTCATCAAATTTATCAAGGATTCCACAGTTTTCCACTATTTTCCTATCAGATGCTAGTCCTTGTCCAGGGGAAATAAAAGATACTGTTCCTGCTAGTGTGCAGCTCACCTATCAATTTCAAAGAGTCACCCAGCATTGCTACCCCAAATAAGAAAAGTCAGCAAGTAAGTATGTTAAGTTAGTGAGTAAATAGATCTCAAGGTTTAATTTTACCCCTTGTGCAATTTAATATCTTCCATTGTTCTGGTGCGTGGTAGTATATGATAATGAGTGTAAGACATAATGTACAGAGGGTGAAATTGCACCCCAGTATACATACATTTGCATGTCATGTTGTTGGTTGATTATTGATTATGACACATTTATTGCACAGACTTCAATTGACTTTCTATTTACTTTATCAGCAGGCATAAAGGCATGCATGGTCAGCTATAACTAGTGTCTTATCTTGTTGTCAGCACGACTGTCTTACTAGCGTTTTCCATGTGTTGGTGCTCTTGTAGTTAGAATATGTCAAGGCCTGACCTTCAGCCACGGATGGATGTTGAATGTATACTTCTGTGCAATCTATGAATGCTTTAACATTTGGGTAGCTCTTAGATCACTCAGGATAGTATGATTTGTTTTCTTCCCCTGTTGGCCAGTTGATAGGAGGTGACAGCTCTCTTGACAGGAAAGAAATCCATGTGATCACAATTCTACTAATTGTTGATTGGGACACTTTCATTCTGAATGCAAGGTCTTCCTTTAAAATTCCCCGTCTCAGGCGAACTAAAGTCATAGAAAGACTCCACTTCCACAGCGGTTTATCTCTCTGGGCCAGGTTTCTCTCTATTTGCCCCTAGCTGGTGAGCCTTTGCTGTATTTGATTCACTGGCAGTTACGGAGAAAGGTTTTTGTGTAGCCATTTGCCTGTAAGACATTAGAAACATATTTCCTCTCCTCAGCCTTTGAATTGAGTGAAGATGGTAGACTGTCAGCTCTTTTAAGTAAAGTTTTGGCTACAGACTTTTTATGGCAAATAGGGTGGTGAGAATCAAAAGCGAGGTATTTGTCAGCGTAAGTAGGTTTATGCTAGACACTTGTCTCTAAATTATCCAGAACCCCTCTGGACACATTTAAATCAAGAGAGGGCAAATGTCGTCACCATGCGTTGTCAATGTGCGTCACTTCGTCAGAAAAAAGGCAGCTAAATAGTGACCATATAAAGGACCTCTTGTTGCAGTGTTTAGATCACCCCTGATGAAGGCACTAGACAGGAATGTCAAAACGTTAGGTCTATGAATTGTAACTTCTTCAGTTACATTCATTAAATCTGTAAACCAGAGTAGCATCAAACCATGTCAGATAATGACATATTAGGCCTTTACATAACTGAACTGTGCTGATGCAAAAGAGCAGAAATATCAGGTATGTTCCTTAGGGAAGATCCAGATTAGGATTTGTGATCTTTAGTTTGATTAGGAACTGAGTTTTACTTCATCAGATCAGTTAACATGGCAGCAGGTGCAAGATTGTAGAGCTTTCTGACGATTCAATGCTACAAGAAGCAAGAAGTTGTGAAGATGAAGAATTTCTACTGTTTCCTTTGATAAGGGAGGGAGAGAGGCATGTCAGCATTGAGAATTATTTCGAACATATTAAACCACTCTACAGTGTTTAAGATTTTTGAAGTCATTTTCAGATGTCAAGAACTACAGTCCCTGTTTGAATGCCTGTTAGCTACATATCCAGGTCTGCCTCATGGACAAAGGAATGGGAGACCTACCATTGACTTACAGAAGCAAGTATTGATTACAATATGGACACTTGGGAACTCTGAATGCCTGGGTGTATTTGTGTTTATCAAAATAGAAAATAGAATTTGTGGAGTGATTGCCAACAATCTCTCAATATACGAAGTACCTACTTTGTTGAAATTAAGCACGCTGGGTAAAATGATTCATTTCTGATCTGATGCCCAAAGGAACTAAAGGTCAGCTCCAGTTGTATGGAGAACATGGGATCGACCATTCACAAAAATAACAAGAAAGTACTATCTAACAACAACAACCACAACAACAACGAAAGCCTTTGCAACTGCAGATCTAAAGAACAGTGCTTGCTCAACAACAATTGCCTGTCTTACAGCATTATCTACAATGCACAGATCACCACTACAGATAACAAAATGACCCCTTAGAACTACATTGGACTGACTGAAGGAACTTTTAAACAAAGATTTAATCAACACAAGGTCACATTCTGACATAGAAAATACACTAACAGCACTGAACTATCCAAATACATCTGGCAACTGAAGGACAACTCTGTAAACTTTAACATAAAATGGTCCATTATTGCAAGAGCTAGGCCCTACAACACGATGACAAGATGCAACTTTTGCCTGACTGAAAAACTCATGATTATTAAGTCCAACAGCATCAACTTACTGAACAAAAGATCCGAACCTATATCCAAATGCCGTCACGAAAACAACAGAACAGAACATCTGATGATTCCCCGCTACAATAGACTTTTGTCAATATATTCACACCTACTGCCTCATTGTCCTTCATTAATACATCCACACCCATTGTAATTTTCGCTTTTTCTCACCTATTATATAACAACAACCTATTGTAATCTGCAGCTACCTTTATATATATATATATATATATATAAATTAGCCCACGAGAATATTCTTTATTAAATCTGTCTGACGAGTGCTCATTTTCTGCTGCAGAAAAAAGATGGTCTCACCTTTTGAGGATATTGAGAAGGATTATATATCAACGAGATTATACTGCTAATGAGATTGCAAACATGTCTTGGCAAAATAAGTCAGACCTTAATCAAAAAGACCCTGTGACTTGTGCCAGAAAGTTTGAACACATGGTCCAGTTGTTTATAAAAGATGTCTCAAAAAGCACTGCCGAACCTTTGGGACAGATAGTAGATTATTTTTACAGAGTTGAATTTCAACAAAGAGGTTCTCCTCACATTTATGCTTTGTTTTGGGTTAAAGGAGCACCAGAGTATGGAAAGGCATCTGATAATACCATTGACCATTTTGTGGACAAGTATGTAACATGTAAAAATAATCAATCTGATGAAATGAGAGAATTAATTAGTTTACAGTTGCATAGACATGCTAAAGCCTGCAGGAATCTAGGGCACAATGTTTGCCGATTCAATGATATTGTTATCCTTCAACCTCTTGAAGAATTCATGCATGATGAAAGTGAGTTTAAGATAATTAAGAGAATTACACCAAAGTCAAGCAACTACTTGATGATATGAAATATGGAGAGGATATAACATTCCATCAATTTCTTGAAAAGACAAAGACCCTGAAAACTATTATCGTGAGCAGCTCATGTTGTATTATCCCTGGAGAAATGAATGTAAAGATTTAATTGGAAGCTCTCTTTCATGTCAAAAAAAGTACAAGTGGAAATTATAGAAAATAAAAACAAACAGAATTATGACCACTACCCAGACGATGTTGATGCAGCTGTTGATGAGCTACAGAAGCAAAATAATGAGGGAAATACTCAACCTGTTGCTCCAAATACCCAACATATCAATGACCAAGATCTTGTTAGTAAGACTAAACCAAGCGAACTGTTTGGCTGTTTTGACCCAGGTAGTATTAAGGAATATAGTCAATGTGACATGTTAATGATAATGGAATTTTACCAAGATCAAATGACAGAGGTACTGTAGATTAAATGATAGTGACTACAGGAAGCTTGTGCACTCCTTGAATAGAAAACAAAAATAATTTTTTTCCCATATACTGCATTCTATCAAAACTAAAGAGGAACCCTTGAGATCATTTTTAAGTGGTGGAGCTGGAGTTGGGAAAAGTACAGTAATTAATGCATTTTATCACATAAACAGTGGTGTTATACAGGGATTTCTGGCCCTGAGAAGAGCCGTAACAACACATGTGAAAAAATATCGTATTTTTTCATGCGTGTTAATATAGCCAGTCAGCTGCTGACACGTCACTCGCCTTTGGCGCCACTTGGTCAGGTCAATGAATGAAAGGCAAAGCCTTCACAGTTCTCCATACAAGTTGTTTATCAGAGCTTTCTTGAATTACAGCGGCTAAAATACTAAAAAACCCGTATCGCTGACAGACTGAGGTTCAAACTTTCAAGAAGGAGAAGGAAACCAATGTACTAAAAGAAAAACTGAAAGTTACATATTCAGTGGCCTTGATGTTAGCATTTCTCTCGGCTGAGAATGAAAATCAACAACTGGAAGATTTGCCACTGGCCAATTTTGGTTGTTTACCTGAAAAACCTCTTCTGTCGGTGAGGACAAATGCAGTAAATGAGAATTTTGTAACATGAAATTTATGACCATTGTTTTTGTAATCGTGATTCAACTCATTTTCCAATGCACTCTACAATTGTTATTCAGGGACTGTTGATTCATTTATTTTTATTCATTAATGAAGTCGGCTTTTCTCCTCCACAGGACGAAATCACATGTTTCCGTATTTCTGAAACGTGGCGGAAACATGCAACTCCATGTTTCCGTTATGTTTACGTCTTACGGAAACGTGAAAATTAAAGTCTACGTGTCTCCGTCACGTTAACGGAACGGAAATGCCAAGTCACGTTTCCGTCATATTTAAGCCAGCACATTTCCGCCGTTGTTCGTTTCCGTCATGTTTCTGCAAACGGATTTGCAGTTTTTTGCTACATCTTACCAAAACACAAACGCGAGATGGTTCTTAGAACAACAAGGAATCTTAATGCGACAGCTGTGTTATTTAATCTGGTTACGCCAAATGAGACAGTTGTGTGACTTAGGTCGGTTGGTGCCAATGAGACAATTGTGTCATTTGATCTGGTTGACCCAAATGAGACGAGTTGTGTCATTTGATCCGGTTACCCAAAGACAATTGTTTATTTACTCTATTTTATTTTAATGGAACCTTGGCAGTTGAGGCGAGCTGACGACGAGTTGCGCGAAATATTTTACAAAATTCCTAAATTACAAATTTTACTCGACAAAGGGAATACAACAAAATAAAAGGAAGAAGAAACGGACGCCAATGTTATTGCTAGAAAATGCAGTGACGTCATATAATCCAAGATGGCGGTGCACGGGAAATTTTAAAGTGATTTATTCCGTTTATTATCGTTGTTTCATTGTTATGTTTTCCTTTACTCGCCGGGTAAAATTTGTAATCCAGACTTAATTTCAATCAACTGAAGGCCAAATCGCCCCAACAGCCGAAGTTTCTTTAGAACATTTCCATTATCGCTATCGCGGCTTTCAACTTTTTCCGAAGGCGCGAGACGTACGTACGTTTGCTCTATTTTATATTAAGCAAGTAAACTAACTTTTAAAAGCTGAAGTATTGAGCTGCTTCCACAGAGCAAAGTCACTTAGATCACTTTGCTCCGATCGGAGGAGGAAGTTACGCTAAAAGCGACAGCTTTTTAAAAGTCCCAATTCGCTACGGCATTTTTAAAATTAATTTTGCTTTTATGAACTTCCAGCTAATAATCAACTTGCTGTTTTTAGTTTGTTTTGACATTGTTTTTTTTTATTTATTTTACAAAAATACAAGAATGCTGTCAGGAAAGTGTGCAAGGAACTAACAAAGGGTGAAGGACAAGAAGAAGATCAGGAGAATCAGCTTAACTTTGATTTGAGCGTCAGGTAAAACAAAACGGAGCTAATGTATAGTTACAGCTGAGGTTGACCTGTTGTGTGGCGACGATGGAGGAGCTTTTAGTTATTGTTAAACAAGATCTTAGGCCATGCTAGCTTGCAACGTAAAAATAACTAAGTGAATTTTATACTTGTGGGCAACACATAGTGTAGGTAGTGCATGACTGCAATTAAGCAAGGACATTACGAGTGTGCTCTCTTTCCTTGGGTTATTATAAAATAAACAAAATTTCTCGACAGGGAAACAATAGGCTCGCCATGGTCTAAAGCAAAACAAACAACAATCGGATAAATAATTCGAAAACTTATCTCATTGGCTGTTTGATTGTTGCACTAAATTACCTGCCGTTATGATTGGCTATACAGTATGTGATCGCTTCTAGTTAGTTTTGCTCTCACACCTTTAATTTAGCTGAGTAAAATTCTGAAATTGATATCTCATACCTTTTTCAGTTTTAATAGCCCAGAAAATAAGACTATGGCTAGGAGAGTGCTAAAAGTTTGCTCAGTGTACGGCAAGGACAAGTGGACAAAGGCTGTCATTAAGAGTAAGTTGGTTTTTTCAGCACAAGCAAGTAATACCCGTTGGTTTCCTTTTTTTCGCTTTTTGCAATACTACTCTACGTTTAGGGCTAGCGTATATTAGCACAGTAAACTGACTTGAGTGCGTTTATTTGGGATGATCCGAGATTACTCGGATTATGGTCAAATCCACTCTGAACAAGGATTCACCAGTTCCTTTGATGCACAGTGATCTTAATGGTCTCGGATCACCGATCTTGATCCGGATCATTCCATAGAAACGATTGAACTAACTGTATAGCTACTTAAATGAAATACGTATTTTACAAGTAAAGATAGAGAACGCCTTCAGAACTGCAAGAGCGTGCTTGCTGCTGTTTAAACTTTTTGTCGTTCTGCGCTAGTTAAATGAAACGGTCATGCTCTTAGTTATTTTTGATGAAACGTGACAGTAATGAAGAGCACTGCTTCATTTTTAGGCGCGGTTCATCAATACTGGAAATCTCTTCGGGATGACAGAAGAAAAACAAATGAAAAGTTTGAAGAACATCGAAGTCAAATGAAGCAACAAAATCGATCAAAGAGAGTAAGTATCAGATTGAGAACCATATAAGCAAATGTTCAGGAATGTTGAGCTTGATACTAGCTATGCAACATCGCGTTACAGCTATTTCTAATAAATGAATCCCTGTATTCGAGCACTTTATATGGTTTAACACGATAAATACATATTTTGTCCTTGATAACATGTCATTTAATTAATCGTGTTGCTTTGTCAAAGAAACTTATCAATTTTTATATATACACTTTGTTTTGTATAATACTCACAATTTGAGTTGAAAAAGAAAAGTGTAATCTTTACCAGAGGGAAGTACATGTATATCTTGTAACAGCAAGGTGTCATTGGTGATAGCCAAAATGCTCCTTGCGCATTTTTTGACACTTTTGTTCTCTGTTTATATCGTTTAGAAACTATCAAGACACCTTTCAAGCTTAGAGAAGGCTATCTTGTCGGACAACGACAAAGAAAAGGCAAGAGAAATTTTCTGTTCGCCAAATGCCATCGACTTCATGCCATCGGAAGAAAGCGACAACGATGATCCTGCTTCATCTAGGGGTCCGAAACCAAGGAAAGTACGTAAACTGGTGTGGGAGAAAAGTAAACTGAAGAATTTGAAAGCAAAACTGGACGAGGCCTATTTGGAAGGACTTAGCGAAAAGCAGCGTCGTGCAAGTGCACGTTTGACCAGAACCAAAGAGCCATCTGTACGGCCTTGCCCCACCAATGGCCCTCGTTGGGCAATTCGTACCGAATAATTGGACTGAGAGGTTCCTAAGAATAGACATTATTTTAGAAAACACAATAAAGACGTTCATTATTCTTGACAAACTTTATGCCTGTTTTCATTTATAGTGCTCAGAACAGCCATTGTAAAATTTGTTCAAAAGTAATTTGGAATGCAATTTGTTAAATGGTGAAAAGTTTTCTTTCCCAGTCTGACATAGAGACCAAAGTAGATGTATATACTACAAGTATTTTGCGAATAGTAGGCTCTATAATGAATTGAAGCTCTATTTAACTACAACCTTATCTTATGGAAGAAAAATAAATGACGCTTTGGCAAAATATAGCTGTAGTATTTCTTTGACTGAAGGGGAAAACGCCATAAGAGGTGTTCTGTAAAATAATTAATAAGACTTTCCACCTACCATGAACATTATAAGGGTGTGTTTCGGAAAGAAAGAGGGAAAAAAAGGTTTACCAAAGCTAGAAAGTTTCCGCAAGGGTAAGATAAATTTGAATTAACACGTTTCCGAGACGTAAGCTGTAGTGGAAACATGAAACAGACCTCAGTTTCCGGAACGGTTTCTTGTGTTTCCACAGGTTCCATCACCCATTCAGTAGCCCGGAATACGTCAACGGAAACATGGAAAAGACATGTTTCCGCAACGTTTTCTTGTGTTTCCGCAAATGTAAACCAGAAATTACAATTGCGGAAACATTTGTTTCCTTTAGCTGAAACTTGACGGAAACATGCACAAAAAGTGGTCCAGTTCCGTTGTATACGCAGCAACGGAAACGCGAGAAAACGTCACGAAACCGGTAACGGAAACACAGGTTATCCGTCGTGTTTCCGGAACGGTTTAACATGTTTCTGCCACGTTTCCGTTTACGGATTCTTGCAATTTCGTCCTGTGCTCAGTAAAGGACTATTATGAATATATGAAAGTGATCCTACTAGTAATGTACACTACTTCTCGTGTTCAACTCGACATCTCACTTGTTTGCTGCGCTCACTCGTTAGCTATCAAGTTAAACACTCGAAGAGAAATTCCATTTCTATGCATGCCCATGTATCATTCTCTCTATACCAAGCACTTGATAGATATCTGAACAGTATCCCAGGAGAAAATCCTGATAACATTTGAGACTTGAAAGCAGCACCTACAGGAAAGGCAGCATTTAACATAAAGGGGAACACATTGAATTCTGCTTTTAAAATACCAATAAACAGAAGTTTTAGTAACTGCACATTGGATAGAGATCGACTGAATACCATTAGAACTCAATTAAGAAAGTTGCACGTGATATTTATTGATGAAATTTCAATGGAAGGAATTGGAATGTTTAACTTCCTCAATCTTAGACTCCAACAAATAACAGATACCAACAAACCATTTGGCAGCTTAAGTATAATGGCTGTAGGAGATTTACATCAACTACAACCAGTTTTTTATCTAACAGAAATAATGAGCCAAAAGGATGATAAATATTTTGCACAGTTGTTAAGAGCATGTCCACGAGAGCACCAGGCAGTTGTGCTACATGCCATCTCACTGATTTCAATGAAACTTTGCCAGTTTAAAGGGTCTACCCCAAAACTCAAAATGGTTTCTGCTTTGGTTTTGGTTAGACCACCCCCCCAGTTTTTCTTGGCTTTCCCCGAGGAAATCACTTCAAAATAGGTGACATGTACGAAGCTCTCTCTGCGATGGTATTTAATTAATTACTCTGAGGGTTTGCACACATATTTTTACATCCTTAGTTAATGTCTGCTATAAGTATCAGTCAATTTGATTGATGGCTTGTCAATCAACAGAGGAAAATATACGACTGTGTTTTTAAACTTTTCGATTCATCCAAATATTTGACAACTTTGAGGTCAAATATCTCCCGTTGCCAGAAAGCTACAAGACTAATCTTAATTAATCTTTATAACCCAATATTTCGTCTCTGAAAATCATCAAAAAAGTCTTTGGTCACTACTGAATTTTTTTCTTGGGTGCCTTTTAAATTATGTGACTGTGACAAGTTTCTCTCAACTACACCTGTCACGCAATTCTTGCTTTAGGCGGTCACTCGACTAAATAAACCTACATTTTTTGGCTCTTTATACAAGATGAACATTCATTAGTCCATAATTTGATTGTTTATCATCATCACTGCTCATTTTAGGAGATTTTAAAGTCACATGCTGCGTGTTGGTTAACATTACTACAAGTTCCAGTGTGCTACAACTTTGGCTTTTACAGACAAGAAATTCTGCACTCTCGCTTGAGAGAAAATATCAATAGTTCTATTGTTGTTGTTGTCACTTACCACCATCGAACATTTCCATGCAGAACTTCACTAAGCTAACATCTGTTGAGTGACCCGAAGACTCTCCGTAGGAATTATTCAAGCACGTTGTTCATGCTCTCTGCTATATAACAATTTCAGGATAGTCTGCAGATCTCTATGATTATTTGTCTGCTTCGATTGTAAAATATCTGCATATTTTTTTCAAGCATTCTATTATTACATATACCATATTTTTTTGATTAAGTGCCCAACCTCGAATAAGTGCCCACCTCCAAAAAGTACTTTTTAAGCGCCCAACCCCCCCCCAAGAAAAAAAAATTTTAAAGAAGTGCACAAAAGGAATACAGGTATTGATTATTATAGTATTTCTTTAATGGCTTACAATCTCTACTTTCATTGTCTGAAAATTTTATGACAACATTGGAATTTTTCTCAAAGTTTTGATTGAAATGTCCATGTGGGCACAAAGTTCTTTCGGGTGCAAAATCTCCCGCTCAAACTTTATGGAAATAGCCCTGCTTGGTGTCTGCACTTTGAATGTTCCTGACACAACAAGTCCGTTCTCCAGCCTTCTTGACCCTGTTACTTTAACAGAAACCTCATTATCATCGTAAGCTCTCAGAAATGTATAGATAAGGTAAGATGGTTCCATTGGCACATGTCCTACAAGCTCGCTGCTGGTATTAGCTCCCAAATACATCCAAATTGCATATTCATCATGTTGTTTGGCTTCCTTGCGATCATCCTCGTGGCAGTTAAGTTTCCCTCCCAAAGTTGGAGTCCACATAGATTTATAGATATGAGGACCTCGCATAACTGATGTGAATTGCACTTGAAACACAAGTGCCAGAGCATGAATTCTCATTGAATGCTCTGGCACTAAAAGTGAGCTGTTCAGTTTGCAAAGCTACAGCGGAAGCCACACGTGTTTCCTGTCACGTACTAGGAGCTCTTTGTTCTTGCACATAATTACCTTATTGTAAACTCGTGAGATCTAGCACCTTCATACATTCATGTGATGTGTAAACTGACAGATCAGATATTTGATTCCAGAGATGTTTAAAAAGATATAAATCACACAAGTCACATTTTCATCCTCCTTTGATCTGAAAGCATGGAGACTGATGCATCTCATCATCTTCTGAAGCTAGATCATCGATATCAGCCTCTTCGTCCTCATTCATATTTGCAGAGGGGGACCACATCAATAAACCAATTTTTGTTATGGCAGATAACCGGCTGAAGTATGGAGTAATTTGCTGCTCTATCAACCGGTCAGCCTTAGACAACATTTCTGGCTGGTGTCGTCTCTTAACCTCTATATTTGGGAAGTCACATTAAAGGCAGTTGCCTTACTAGTTTCCTCTCCTATTCAGCACACGTCTAGGAGGTAATTCTTTGCGTTCTGAGAAAAGGTGGCTGTTTTTTTATATTTTCCAAAGAGCCCACTCGGCTAGTTAGGGATTGTTCATCAGAATTTTACCTGAGGTCCGACTTTGAAAACTTGAGCGAGGCATGGCTTTGAATCCTCATTGAATGCTCCGGCACTAAAAGCGAGCTGTTCAGTTTGCAAAGCTACAGCGGAAGCCACACGTGTCTTGTACTGGGAGCTCTTTGTTCTTGCACATAATTACCTTGTTGTAAACTCGTGGGATCTAGCACCTTCATGCATTCATGTGATGAGTAAACTGACAGATCAGATATTTGATTCCAGAGATGTTTAAAAAGATATAAATCACACAAGTCACGTTTTCATCCTCCTTTGGTCTGAAAGCATGGAGACTGATGCATCTCAGTTCAGTAAAAAAAAAAAAAAAAAAAAAGTTCGTACTCGACTGAATATAACTTAGAAACTATCAAGTTTGCCAAAGAAAGTAAAAGCATCTATAGCGCTGCAAAAAAATTAAATGTAGACCATAAGAGAATTCGTGAATGGCAAAGCACCAAGGCAAAACTTCAGGCTGCAGATAATAAGAGGAAATGTCTTGATGGAGGAGTTAGAAAACCATTTGCTGTTGGCCTGGAAGACGAGCTTTTAGAGTGGATACATGAACGCAGGTCCACTGGCCTTCAAGTTTCAAGGGCAATGATTCCACACAAAGTGCAAGCTATTAATGAGCAAAAATGCAAGGCATGGCAGGTTTCTCCATCTTTTATTGTAAGTAATGGCTGGATCCAGAAGTGTATGGCCAGGAATGGGCTGTCTGAGAGGTGCAGAACCACTGAATTGCAGAAAGACCAGGACAGACTTATTGACAAGCTTATTGCCTATATCTTACAAGTACAACGACAGCAAAACAGGCATTCCTACAGTCATAGTGACATTATTGCCATGGACCAAACAGCTGTCTGGCAATATATGCTGTCCAGCACTACCGTTGACAACGTGGGAGAAAAATCAATTCGACTGAAGACAACAGGACATGAGAGGTCCAAAGTCTCTGTCTGTTTGACAGCAAAGGCAGACGGAATAAAACTAAAGCCGTTTATTGTCTTTCTGGGAGCCAAGAGAGAAACAAAGCAGCTTAATGAGGAGTATAAAGATAGGTGCTATGTAGCCTCTTCTGTGAATGGATGGATGAATGAAGACCTGACTCATGACTAGGTGCAAGGAGTATTGGACAAGTTCTCATGTACTCTTCGGATGTTGGCTTGGGACTCTTTTAAATGCCACATCACAGACAGTGTCAAGCAAGAACTCGCACAGGCAAAGATTGATCCTGTCATAGTACCCTGTGGTTGCACTAAGTATATCCAACCCCCTGACGTGCCATGGAATAAGCCCTTCAAGGCCAAAGTAACAGAGAAGTACAATGCATGGATGGCCGTCAGAGCTCATTCATTTACAGCTGCAGGAAACATGCGTGGCCCATCTCATCAGGAAATCATCAAGTGGGTTCTTGAGGCCTAGGAAAATCTAGACAGAGAGTTAATTATCTGTTCTTTCAGAAGCTGTGCACTTACTGTGGCTCCTGACAGATCTGAAGATGATCAGACTCACTGCCTAAAGGAGGGTCAACCTTGTCGTGTAGGACAAGATTGCCTGGCATCCATCCAGCAAGCCCTTACAGGTTCTTGCGCGACTGACCCATTTGCTGATGTTATGCTGTTGGATGTCGAAGAGGCAGCACCAGAAAGTTCACTTATTGAGCTGAGCGACAATGACATTGAAGTTGATTGAGATTTATGATAGCAAAAGAGACTTCTGCGAAGACCGAACAATGAGTTGTTAGTCCCGGGCATAAACTGAACAATGAACAGTTACAATTTATAGCTTTAATATTTCGTCATGTTTTGTTCTTGTTTATTGTTTAGTTACAAAATAAACTTTTTACTTACGAACCCGAAGGTCTGAATCTCACACCAAGTTTTGCATGATATTTGAGGCATACTGTGAATTCGCGGCCTTCATAATCTTCAAATAAGCCAATACGCGCTAGAATTAGCTTTTTCTTGGACGAAACACATGTTTGGGATACATCAACGTCTCTCAAATGTTTTTTTAAAGCTTTATACCCACGAATTTAGAGGTATGAGCTGTTGCCATCTCCAGCTAGTGTGAGAAAATAACATTTGTTTCTACAGTTAGTTGCAAAACTGAACCATCTTGACTTTATCAATTCGAGTGTTAGGTTGAATGGAGGGCTTTTTAGACACTTGATTTCTTACATGGCATCACTATGAAGACATAATACAACTGATACACCTACACTACATAGGATTAACAATGTCTGTCGCACTGTTGCGAGAAGTAGGAAAATATTACCAGAAGTGTAAACTCTTTAAGAGTTTCAGAGACGTTTCAGAGATGTCTATCTTTGGCTGTCACAAAAAATTGACCCCCACTTAAATGTACTGGAAAAATGAACTGATATACTCCTTGTTGAAAAAGTTGGAATTCATTTTGACGCCGGTTGTTTCAATTTGCTTTTTCCTCGGGCTGCTATAAAAAAGTTCACAAATTGACCAATGAATAAAATATTGTGAAATACCGTTTCAAATCTGCCTTTTTTTTTCGCATGCAAATCAAGGGTTGACAAAGTTTTTAAAACATTTGACAAGAATTTCATGGGGTTCACCTTGATAATTTTCGTTGGCCAGAGTCAAGATGCACCAAGCTAAGCGACATCACCCTCCAGTAAAATAGTTTTCCAAAGAATAAATGTGGCAAGCATAAGGAAACGCACATTTTTTTCATTATTGTGATCAAAGCCCAATAATGTACCGAAATTGGTACTTACGGTATCAAACCATCGATTATGACAGGGTGAGCTTAATTTTTCTGTCGAGGTCGATGTTACTTCACATTAAAAGGGTATTTGACAGAACAAACTAGTGAGCATCACTGCACGAACTGAGAAAGTAAAAACTTGTAATTAACTCCCACGCGTTATGTCTGACAAAGTAGACTTCATGAAGTATTTTTTCAAGTAGGTTAAATAAGCTTGCTCATATACAAATAGTAAATAAGTTGTCTCTTTACTATTGAAGCTAGTGGATAGAATTCGCCAGGTGCGCTTACGGTGGTATACATGCATGACATTTTCCAGATGTTACATGTATGAGTACGTGATCCATTTGAGGGTCATAGATTTAGTGTATATATTTGACCCCTCAACATCACGTAATTTCTCTAGTTTACAGAGATCTTAGAACATTTCATTACATGGATTTGCCTTCTACAGGTAGAAGGCTACAAACGAATTTCTCAGGCGTAATTGCCTTTGATTTCTCAATTGATGTTGTCACAAACATGACACAAAAAACTTCTCAGGACCTAGTTTCATGTACTAATGGAAATATATAGCAAATAAAAACACATTCTCTTGAGAAATAAAGTTATAAATAACAGGGGTTCTCTGAAACAAGTATTGAAAGAGAAGGGTTTCAGTTCTGGTCAATGTTGACTTTTCATAGCCTACTTCCAAATCTGAGGGAACGTGCTGAGGGAATAAAAATACATAACTGTGTGATAATGCAAGGAAGAGAATAAAATACAAATAAAGAAAAAGGAGAAAACATAGAAACCCGTGTTGCAGTGTGCAGATATCTTTTGAACCAGACCTACACACCTAAGCCGACATCTCCCAAAGAAACTTGAAAGAGTGTTGGATATGAACTGGCTCGCACGTGCATGCAGGAAAGGCCATAACAATCAGTGAAAATAATAGCAAATGCAGATGATATCCTCAGTCAAAAAACAGGGAAATAGGATGACAGAAGGATTAAGAACTTTCTAGAGGTGTCTCTTTGAAAAAAAAAAAAGATAAACAGTTTTTACTTCTCATGAAAGGTCACGCAGTCACGCTACAAATACTATTTCTACACGTGGAATTTCTTGATGTTAGAAAAGAGAAAAAACATTTTCCAGTCTTATTTTCTGGAAACATGGTGCAGTTAATGAATTTATGGGGCTACTGATATTTCCTATCAAATAAGGGGGGCAGAGTTTCGCGTCACGCATGGTATGGAAAAGCCTAAGTTGTCACACTCGGGAACTTGTACGTCAATAAGCACACGGCATGTGACTTTAAAATCTCCTCTCCTGTTACAGTTTCCTTATTGTAAACTAAGCATTAATAATACTAGACGATCAAATTATATACTAATGAATGTTTTGTTCTGTACAAGAACCCTATTTCCTGATTTTAGGAAATATTCAAAGTAATAAACGACAGGAGAAAGAAACACTACGATTTTCCCATTGATTTTTCGCCTGCATGCATCTCTCTAAACGTGAAATTTTCCATTCCTACAAAAAATCTCGAAAGTTTTTCACACTTTTCAGCTTTCTTGATCAATCATCTTGTATCAAGAGCTAAAAAATGTAGGTTTATTTGTTCAAGTGACCACCTAAAGCAAGAATTGCATGGCAGGTGTAGTTGAGACACTTGCCACAGTCACAGATTTTAAAAGGCATCCAAGACAAAAATACGGTAGCGCCCAAGGATTTTTTTGATGATTTTCAGAGATTAAGGGAAGGAAAACAAACCCAAGATGATATCACAGTCCTGAAATCAAGAATTCTGAAATCAAAACCAGGGGAACCAAATTATCCAGCCTCCCTGACACATGTATTTTCAACCAATGCATCAGTAGACGCTCACAATGAAGCTGTCTACAATTTGTCCCAAAGTGAAAAAGCTCAGATAGATGCTATAGACGTTGTTATTGGTGATATATCTGATGAATTAAAACATGAAGTAAAGAAAAAAGTCCCTGATGATCCTTCAAAACAATGGGCTTATACAAAAATCTAAATATTACTGTAGGATCAAGGTATAACTTGACTGTAAATGTTGACATAGGTGATGGACTTACTAATGGGCCACAATGCGTAGTGCAAGATATTGACTATAGAGTTGCTGGATCTCAGAGACCCAGCATTACTCGGGTAACATTCTCCAATGCAAGTAGAGAAAATAAGCAACACAAAGAATATTCCTATCTATCAAAGAATAAAATGGAAAACTTGACACCAATTTTCGAAATAACAATACAATTCAAAATATCCAACAGAAATCAACTTCAGATTCTGAGAAGACAGTTTCCTTTAAGAGCAGCTGCAGCAAAGACCATCCATTGTTGCCAAGGTGACACACTAATAGAGGATATTACATGGCCGCTTGGGATACAAATTTTATCTTCAAATGCAGAAAGAATCTCTCACAAGTGAGCGAAGTGATGTCCATTTGCAAGAAGCAAAAGAAACAATAACAGTCTTCATAGTAATGGTGAAGGCACATGAGTTTACAAAACGACAACTATGGCTGCACAAAAACCAATTATAGTAAAGCACTAACAAATTTCAAGCATTGGAACTCTTTTCTTCAATTACAGCAGTGGAGTGCTCAACACACCTCCACATGACGTTCACTTTAAGTTTTCTCCACCAACCAAAGAAGTAACAAAGATAGACTCCTTGCTCACCAACCAGACATCTGGTATTTTTACAGTAAGTGAAATAATCAAATGGAATAGGCCTGAAATTACTACAGAAAAAAATGGGGCTGTAGTGAGAAATGCTCTCCTCTACAATAGCAGTAGCACGAGCGAAATTTCTTTATGGCAAAAACAACATATTAACCTAGAAAAAGAAAATGAGTTTTATACCATAACAGACAATAAACTGAGGCATTATTATGGCAAGTGTCTGTCTACTACCACGAGCACACAGATTATGAGAGCTAAACCACAAGACCTGTCTCACGATAACATAACCAAAAGCCACACCCACCAACTGTGCTGCCCAAACATAATGAATTTAGCCATAAATACCTACCCTACTTGCAACAACAAAGATTGTCTAAAAAAATAACTTTCAACACAGCGGGATTACAGGTTATCCACTGTCAAAGCTACAACAAGGCAATGCTGTTAAAGCAATGTTTCTATGAAATGAACATAACCTTCCACCTAGAGAAAAATGACAATCTACAAGTTCACTGCTTTCCCTAGAGTAATTAGCACATTCCTGTGCAAAGATATGTACAGATATAAGAAAGACACTGGCACCCTGATTGAAAGAATTCTGCTCATGGAAAATGTAGACTTTGAAGTTTCGCCTAACCAAAAACTTGTCACCAACATGAATATATACGCACAAATAGAGTTAACAGGTGAACAACTACTGGAATGCCATCCTGGTTCCATTTAAGAACAATCCCAGGTGTCTGAACCAGAAAAAATAAAATACCAACATACTCTTTGGTTCCAAATAAATGGAGAGGGGGGACTCAGAATAAACGAGGTGGCTGAATGACACCTGAAAACCTAATAAATGGAGGGTCTTAATAAAGGGGGGCTTGGAAAATCTAAAAAGAATTGTTCGCTGCACACTGTACCTCTAAAGGCACGATTAAACACTTTATTTCAGGTCTGCGAAAACTCATATATCTCTTTTTGGTACACTGAAAACTCTCCCATTTTGATTTTGTAAAACAACAGTAAACACGCACAAAAAATTGAGATTTGAAAGTCTGAAAGTTTATTAAACGGGGGTCCTAATAAGGTCCGGGAGAGTCGGAAAAATTTGAAAATTTAATATGTGTGGGCAAGGGGTATGTTTGTTTAGCACTGAAGATTTATTTGACCTATTTTCAATGAATTAGGAATGTTTTCTTCAAGATATGTTTGACTGGAATTAGGAATGAAATGTAGTCGATTGTATATGCTATAAAATAAAGAAAACTGCCAACGTTTATCATTCATTGGTAACCCCTAAGACTAATAGATAATATAGAGCTTTTTCAATGATAATAATAATGAACTCAAGATATATATATACATATACATAAGTACTTGCTGGCATGAAATTGTGCAGTACCGTTACATTGACAGATAAATGTAGTTTTACAGTTATTGCTTATAAACAACAAGTTCATATTACAGTCACTCTTCAATACACTACTCTTCTAGTAGAATGATTTAAATGCTTCCATTGGAAAAAAAGAATGAAATTGTGACAACACAAAATGTATTTAGAGGAATTTAAAACCACATAATTGACAACATCAGATCCCTGACTCAACATTTTACTTACCCCATGAGCTTACCACAGGATACCTTTGATTATCATAGATGGATTAACATAGTGTTAGTAGGGAAGAGTAAGTTTTTGATAGCATGACCATAAAGTATGGTATAAAGATACCAGTTAACTTCTCTCCTTGCAAAATCGTTGCAAGTGTGTTCAAAGTAGGTGCCTTGGAAGTCAAACTTACCTCTTCCTTGCAGACACCAAGGGTTTTTGGCAGTTCAGCATGGCACAGAAAACTGTGGAGAGAGTATTTCATCTTCAAAGCAACCCACTTCCCATAATGCACATACACTCCATATCTCCATTCCAAGACAGAATAGCCCTTACAGACCAAGACAGAAGGCAGCTTAAAAGACTACCAAGTGGAAGTGCGGTTAAAGTAATTGTTTCGTTGATTGATATTTCATCCGTTTATTGACATTTGATTGTTTGATTAGCCGTGTGATTAACAGTTGATGGCGTAATAGCTAAGTAACTTGATCATTCAGTTAGGACACGTTTTAAGTAACGCGAAATCAGAGACAAAGGTCATAAGCGTTTTGTACCCTACGGACTTTATGTTGAACGTCGCTAACCTGTAGTTTATTACTGTTCGATCTGCTGACCCGTTTTGCTGACCTGTTATTGAAATACGTTTGACTGGATATCGCCACAGAAGTAAGTAATTTGTTTTGTAACCGATTGAATTGAGAATTGTTAGTTCCCGTGCAATTTCATGAATCGCTCGCATTAGATTAGGTTTCTCAACAATTTTGTATATTTCTTATAGATCGAATAAAACAATATAAAGATTATACGATTCCATGTCCAACCATTCATCCGAGAACCATTTTCCCTTGGAACAGTAATTGCTGGAGCCAGGGAGGACAGCAACAAAAATGGCTCTGGAAGTCATTCCACTTTTGGCCAACCGATGGGCACTTATATCAAGGGAACTAGCATAATCATACCCAATGACCAAATTGGAGCGATAAAGCTTGTAACAAAGCTCAAAGGAACTGTTAAGTCCTTAGAAAACCTCAGAAACCTGTGTCATGCATTCTCAGTGCATTGCAAACACCAACAACACAATAGTTGCATACCTAAGGAAGCACACTAAATAGTCAAACAGTTTCCTCTTATTACAATGGAACCATTTAAAATTTGAAATGATATTAAGGCGTAATAAGCACAACCAATGGTCCACAGGGAACCATTGCTATGAAAATTGGGTCTTCAGAGGCTAGATAAAAACATTGACTTACTGAGTCCAGGATTCCTCATCAAGCCAGAGGTTTGCTTGACAATTCAGGCTAATAATAATGGTAGCCAACTCAAGCACCCGAATTGTACTGGGCTGGAATATGCCAGGGACTTTGGCAACAGCATGAAAGAGTCTTTGAAACAAGCAACAAATTTACTCATCCCAACTCCTACTATCTGCTGCCGCAGACAAACGTACCTCTAAGGAACATCCCAATGATGAAGCGTCTTCGTGTTCATGCAATGTCCAAAGAAGTCCACGATTTAATGCACCACTGGGCCAGCAAGCATGGAAAAGCCGTCAGACAGCTTATGATTCATCAAACAACACATAGCATACAGTAGGTACTCTTCCTCTAAACATGTGTTGGAAAGAACCATCCATTGGCGACTGAGTCACAGAGGAACTCCGCTAAGATGACCAGCTCTCTGAGTATGATGCAGACTCCAGTAATGATGAGGACAATGCCACCCACAAAGATGAGATTGAGACTGTGCCTGCAAATTCCTTGCAAGGACAGTCCACATACATACAGGGCGACCCATCCAGCTATCATATCATGCTCTTTTACCATACTAAGGTATAATAAGCTCTAAATTCTTCTTAGTAGTAGCTAACATTCAAGATGTCAATCGCAAGGGCTAATCTGAATCTTACATTCATCACCATCATCATCATCATCATCTCTTATTTGCCTTATTTACACAATACAAAAAAATTTATTTACAGCAGTTATAGCTGGAAGGTGAGGAGACCCAGGAAGCCACCGGGCTTATGGGAGAGCCACCTCACTTACATTAATAAATTAAGTAAATAAAAAGTGCTGTGAATGTGTGGCTAGGCCAATTCAGTGATTATTTAAGCAAAAACTAGCATTTTCGTCTTAAAACTAAGAAGGTTTGACAAACGAGTGACTGAAACAGGAGGAGAGTTCCAAATTTTAGACCTAAGTGAAGAATTGTAAATTGCTTGAGATTTGTACAGCACAAATGTGTTTGATAATTACTGGCTGTTCTGGTACCATAGTTGTGAATCTGGCTATTTGTTCCAAAAAGATTGAGAAGCAATGGAGGCAATAAGTTTTTTCTATAGTAATCCATGAATTTGGCGATTTCAAACATATTGAATAGGAAAATATTTAAAAATTCCTAGTTTGGAGAATAAAGGAGCAGAATGGGCTCGATAGTCTGAGTTGGCGATAGCCCGCACAGTTCACTTTTGCAAATAATGAATTCTATTTAAGTTAGTTCCCTATGTTGACGACCAGGCGCAATTACAATAGACAATATAAGGATAAATTAAGGTGTAGTACAAAGTGAGTTTGGTTGTAGAGGATAGGAGAAAGCGAGATCTGAATACAATACCTATTGATTTAGCGATTTATTTACATACATAGCTGATAAGGTGTTTCCAGTTGAGATGATCATCAATATAGACCCCAAGGAATTTAGTTATGTTAGATCGTTGTAGGGGTTTACCTCCAAAGGAGAGAGAAATGCTGGAGTTAAATTTCTTCCGTCTGGGTTTAAAAATAACGTAGTTAGCTTTCTTTATATTAACTGCGAGCTTATTGCATTTTAGCCAAACATCAATATTTTGGAGCTCATCATTAAATACGGATTCTAAGCAATTTGGGTTTGAGTGAGAATAAAAGATACTGGTGTCATCAGCGAAAAGCAGAGGGTCTGTTAACTCAGAAGCATTAGGGAGGTCATTTTTGTACAGAATGAACAATAGAGGGCCTGACCGGAACTAGCGTGACTGTCTAGCGTTACAACCGGATATCACATTTGGTATTCATATGATTGGCAAGTGAAATTCTAATGGGAGACAGAAGAGTATTGTGAAAGAAGGAGGTTTCTGAGGACAAACAACGCAAACACCACGAGAATCGTGAGGCCAGTTATTTTGTAATTTTTCGTTACATTTTCGTTATTAAACCCGGGAATTGTCAGTACATCGTGAGTGCTTTTGTGTGCCGTACAACTTCGGGACAGGCCTGAAATCGAACCTTGAGGTACACCACACTTAATGGTTTGCATGGGAGAGCAAGCTTGATTGAATTGGAAAAATTGCTGGTGGCAAGAAAAGTAGCTTTTAAACCACTGCAGAGCCACGTCATGGATACCATAGTCCTCCAATTTGGCAAACAAGATTTGATGGTCAAGATGTCAATGTTGAGCATTTCAATTTTTGGTTCAAAAACAGTGTCCCAAACTCCTCCAAAATCTACCTGCAAATCCTCACTTGCAAACTTCTCTTCAACATATAGAAGATCTACGAAGAAATCTGGTCAGCAAACACTTCAGCCTTCCAAATATTACCACTAAGAGGATTGACGAAATATTTAAGTACATGCCATCACATGTAATACCTTGCATAATTTTTACTTGTGTTATAAAGATATCTATCTGTCTTGAACTCATTTTTGTTTATATTTTTAACTGTACATAATCAATGTTTTGTGATTTATATTCATACTTTTCCCTATTCTTAGTTCGTTTTCTCAGAAACTTCAAGAGTTTACATAAGTTTCCTCCATTCTTTAGCCTTCTGTATGTAAAAAAATACAAGTTTCTATTTTTACCATTAGGTAAAAACAACCAAAAAGACAAAAACAAAACTAGTGGTTAAATCAAGACTTGCATCCTCCTAAACAACTTCAAAACACTTCAGAGTAATACCATATTTCATGCATGCCTCCTTCAACAATTAAAACACCAGCCAAATTCAACCTTTTTTAAAACTAATGTGTAAGGTACAAGAATTAGGTTGGGTGTTCTATATAAACACCTTCCCCTATGTCTTTTTTGTGAGTATATTTGAATTATGTTAATAAGTAAGAGTACATGAAAGTATTTTCTGATCAATCACTCAGTAGTAATTTCCTTTAAGTTTTATAAAACATTTGTGAAAAAAAGAGAAGACAAACAGTTAAATGTGGTGAGTTTATATCCTCAACAATTTTTACCCAAGCTCTCACATATTTGATTTCCAAGAAGCTTGGATATATTTAAGAAACAATCATTACAGTCCTTAAACAAAAACATACTTCACAACATTTATTAACCCTATACAAATTATAGTAATTTAAAAGTGATAGTTGAACATATTAGGTAGATAATAACATCATTGAAATAAAAGTATGTTCAAATAAAGGTATGTTGTTAAGTGGTAAATATACTCAACACACCTCAATATATATGTCTTCAGTTTTTATCTTGTAACATTATAGATATGTATTTTTATCTAATGAGCAATAAAGACATCTATTATCATTATTATCATTTGTTATTAGTAGTTACATTAATTCAGAAACAGGCCTACAGTGGTAACTAAGTATTGACACTAGCAGCAATAACAAAGAGCAGTAATTTTATTCTAATTATAAATTACTTAAACAGATTTAGCTAATATTGCTTTGAAATGATTGAAGTTAAGGCAAAAGTTTCAGAAATCTTAACTTTCTGTTGCAGTATTTTAGAGAAAATTCTCAATCTCTTCCTTCCAATTTGATGTCTCACTGTTACATCAAAATCTTGATTCTCTTTGCATTTCAAACGCATGAGCCAAGATGTGGAACATAGAATTGATCAGTACTATTTATGAATATTTAACAGCTACTTGTTAAAGATGGCACATGTATAAACTGAAACCTAAATGTATGTTAATAGCCTAGCCTGAAGCTAAACAAAAGAAAAATCCTAAAAATACCATTATGTAGAAATTGACTTCTTTTGGACTTATGCAGATGACCTATATGTTGTAAAGAATAATGCTATTTCCTACAAATGAGCTTGCAAAGATGACTGAAATAGATGTTTTGTTGGCACAAGACACTGCACCGGGCCAGTGTATCATGGCCAGGAAACCAGAGGTATATAAGGAGGAGTATAGCATGTAATAGTCATCTAGGTCTCTGAAATCTGAGTCAGAGCTCCATTTAAGTCTACTTTTCACTCCTTTGCTGTATGCCCTCAGAATTTCATCAATTTCCAAAGAAAGCTCAGACCTCATAAGAGCCAACAAATAGCAGTTAATGGACTCTTTCAAAGGCTTGTTACAGGATATTGGAAATAAAATGTGCTAAAGATTCAGTTGGACAGCAATTAGAAGATATAAAGAAGCTTAAGTTCAGCAAACCCTACAAGTTCCAAAAACCTGATGAAGACCAGTATAAGTTTAACCTTAAATTGGCGGAAACTACTGACAACAAATGCTATTGAGAAGTCGTTGCTTAACAAAATAAAGAACAAATTGGAAGAAGGTCAGAGGTTAATGCTAGAATGCCAAAAAGACATTTTACTTGCGGGCAAGTCACAGTGTGGCTGGTACATGGTAGAAGAGTATCCGCATCCATGTGGGCTGCATCTGCATATGCACCTGCTACCTCTCTTTTGGCCAGCATGCAGCAAAACATCAAGTCATCCACCCCCTTATGCCCCTGAAGTATGTAGTTTGTCAACCAAATATGTTTTTCTACTGGTAAAGCCAGGCATTAACACTCTCCTTGTCCAGCTATGACCAAACAAGAGCCTCCTTTCATCTCAAGATGACTACAAGAGTATGAATCACATGTAATTCTTTTCTACGACAACAGGCTAGATTGGGGTTCTGACCCTGTTTTTACCAAAATTAACAGTTTAATTGTGCACTCTGACCTCCTCAACTCTAGTTTTGTTATGAATAAAGAAAGGTCTCAGTGGAATAAATTTGATTTAGTGACATTTAGAATTGATTTTAGCCCTCTCAGACCCCCTTTATTTTTTTAGACAGTTCTGTTTGTTGTCCTCAGACACTAAGATTTTGCCAATGGGCACTGCCTTGATGGAAAGGCATATCTCTCTGGGTGTTGCATTTACTGCTATGAAACATACGTTTGTTGTGGTCGCCTCCAGCTGCTCATATTATTTGCAGCTACCTTTTTCATTTATTAAAGATTTATTTTCCTGTCTGCACTGGCATATTTCTTAGTTGCCTGTTCTAGTTACTATACTTATGTATGCTCTTCATGGATCTTTTCTTTCATATCCTTAGAAGTTTTTCACTCTGGTTTGATAACCCAGTTGATATATGGAATGTTACTATGTATGTTTCATGTTTTACTGCCTTTTTCCAAGTTTGATGAAATGTCTGGAGTAAGGAGTGATACTGTAAACGTTCATGTATAAGCTGCATCCATAGATAAGCCACACCCCCGATTTAGAAGTGCAGAATTAAAAAAAAAACAAAACAATACAGTTTGAAGTTTCAGTAGAGTTGTATTGCTACAAACAATCAAGGTTTCGAAACACCAACATAGAAGTTGTAGCTATCTTTCACATTTATTAAGTCTATAGAAAGCGAAACTTCGTTTGTCGTACCTTCTTTTTCATTGGAGTTTACACCATCTTTAACTTAAAACGCTCTTTCAATCCGATTTTTCAAGATTATCACTTCGAAACACGCCATAAAGTTGAAATTCCTTCGGCATTGGAAAAAAGACAAACGAGTGCTTAGTAGCCAAGCTTTAAATGTTGGGAGGAGTGTGGGCCTTTCAACTCAGCTGTTTGGGGATACCACGTGTATTAAGATGTTTGGAAACCTGCAATAGGCGAAAAACTTCATGCAGAACAGGAGCCTGATAATGCAGTCGACAAATTTGCTATGAAGGTAGTAAAAAACGACAAATTCCTTGTATGTTGGTGTTTAGTTGTTCGAGTAAAGCGAAAATTAATCGCTCGAAAGAACTCTTGGAGAGCAAGATTCGCTGATAAACACTCGAAGACACAAAGGCTCTTTTAGGAGCCACCACTCAATGAAAAAGTCAATGAACTACAGCAACACGCTCTCAGTTTTTATGTTTATTTCTTGGCATCTTAAGAAGTTTTATGAACATTAATTAGGTTTCTGAGAACTCCAGACACACATGTATCCATGGATAAGCCGCACAATGGATTTTTGGCTTCAATTTTGTGAAAAAAAGGCGGCTTATGCCTGGACGTTTACGGTATTTATTTCAGAGGAGGTTTCATGGTTATTTCAGTGCATAAAAGTAAGAACAACCAACTCCACCAGGGGAACAAAGGAGTCATTTCCCTGCTATCTAGCTCTACATGTCCTACTAAGTTGCTCAAGAAGTACTTAAGGGCATTTCACATGGCCTCGATTTAACAAGACCCCATTTTCAAGCCCATTTCCAAGGGAAATGGTTTCTGCAAGTTGGTCTCAGCAAACAAACCTATTAGCTAGAGCTGTATGCTGGATGCCCTGAAAATAGACTTGAAGAACAGGGAAGTTGACCCTTCTGACCACAGGTTCCATTCCTGCCTTCTGGAGGTGCCACCTGGGCTACTAATAATGGTGTCAACGACCAAGCTTATCTGTACCATCCTCGCTGGAAATTGTTTTTCTTGGGTACCCAATACTTTGTCACTCTAGAGAGTTTTGGGTTCTTTCCAGGCCCTCATAAATAAAAGTTTGTAGCCTCAAAAGCATTCTTTGAGAGAACTGATGTGTGGTTACTACCCTCAGTCCTTGCACTGATATTTGTAAAAGTCAATGCCAATAAAGTATGGGTTACTCAAAAGATATCCATCTTGGGAAACAACTGTGTCTATTTAATGAAATATTTGCCCCACAACTGACTAATGTTGGACTTACCAAATAACTTAATACAGAAGTCGGCAAAATTCACCAGAAAACCAGACAACCAGTGGATACCATGAGAATTCAGGGGGAATGCCTTTGACTTGCTGCTGGAGAAAGAGACTTATTAAAAATGTTGTGGGAATCCAAGCAGTGTTGAGCAGCATCTTCAGCAAATTAATTTCACTCAGAGGTGTGAACCACACTCATATTCTTGGTTTTCATGTGACGTCACACACCTATCAAATGTTATTGTCTGCATGTTGGTGTCACATATGTGCAGTTCAACAGCAATGTAAAAAATATTTGTACAAAGGTCAACAATCAAATTAATGTAATTTCCCGCTTTGAAAAATAGTACCAACAGATGTGAAATGTTAACTTTATAAGCCCTTTGTTCTTCCATATTTTAGATATTACGAAGCAGTTTGGCACGGCTCCAAATAGACACAAATTAGAGAATCTTAACAAAAGGGCACTCAAGATTGCCCTGGACGAGAAGTCTCTGCACTACCACAAGCTACTGAGAAAATTTAATTCTAGTAATCTGTATAGTATCAAGTGCCAAGACATGATGAAAACAGTTTTTAAGGCAATACAGTTTGAAATGATGCCAAAATACATACTTATTCAATTGACAAATACTGATTACAGCCTACGAGGAGTAAGGAAACTTGTTATCCCATGCATTAACACAACCACATATGGGCTTCATTCCTTCAGATACACTTCTGTAAACATGTAGCACAAACTAATAGAGGACCTAAGGTCATTAACGTCCTTCAATGAGTTAAGAACTAAAATATGTCAAATTTCTTTCGAAATTCAATGCAATGGTTACTTATGTAAATAGTAGTTAATGTACTCTATATAATATACGATTTTATCTTTAATTATTCATTTTCTGTTTTTCTTCCCTTTCTTGAAGAAATTAGCTATACAGCTACTCCTGTAAATCCGAGGTGAAATTAAGGTGATGTGATGTGAAGCATAGAACATAAATGCTGCATGATGTTACAGAAAAGACAGAAGATAAAAGTCATGCAGAACAATTATCAAAAGAGCACAATATTCCTAATTTAAGAGATTATACAAAGAATCTAGAAAAGAACATAAAATCTCGATATTTGGAGAAAATATCAGTGGTGGGTATCGATCCAGTTATGCTTATTGATGTCAACTTGGATCCAGAATGTCTAACACCAATAGAGGCCACAGATCTCTTTTAATACTTGGTAATGGATACCAGCTTCTATGCAAAGGAGCAATTCAAAGCCTTCAAAAGCATGGAAGCTAACAACCAAATGGCTTCGGGTGTTATCACTAGTGTTCAAGGTAAAGTCATCTACATGCCGTGTGAAATGCCGGCAATATCGAGCTCTGCCTTAAGGGTCCTTATTTTTCTGCTTCTTCTCAGCATTGCTTACAAATATGAAAGCATGTCTTGTTGCATTTAGTGTTTAAACAATTATGGACAAGAGTTCGGTGAAATAACGGTGTGCTTCCTTCAACAAGATGACATATCTCAAATTGCCAACAACGAGTGAACATGGCCACCGCCATTTTGGATCAAAATGCTTGTTGCGCTGCCCATTTTCTTTGGACACAGGCTGAGCAGATATCCAAACAGTTCTTCTACCTTTCAGCTATCGCACCTCTTGATAAGCTGCGACGTTAATCCAAACCCTGGCCCTACAACTAAACATGGGTGCCCTTCTTGCTCTAGAACTGTTGTTCATAATCATTGCACATTTGGATTGCAATTTATGTGGGGGTATGTTTCATATCAATTGCGGTAAAGTTGCACCTACGGAATTCAGGCAAATGCAGAGAAGCAAACAAAAATCACGGTCATGCCCCACATATATGGAAAGACAGTTTTTAAACTATGACTTTATTAAATTAGAGCACTCATCAGCCCTTCCTTTTAGCTTCTATTGATGACCCTGTTGACGAAGCTTCCACTGAAGTGGTCAACATTGATGTGTCTCACTTAAATGGTTCAAATGAAAGCCAAGATGATGACTCAGCAGAACTGGTGAGGCAATTAGAGGCTGGTTCAAATAAAGATTTAAAAGTAGTGCACCTGACTTTAATTGTGATTTTAAGCTTCAAGAAGGTGATTCTGACCTAAATAGAAATACAGCCAAGCTCTGTTCTATTTTTGAGTCATTTAACATGTGAAACATAGTGTCATATAATACAAGGATAACACCCACATCATGTACTTTGTTAGACCTTTTTGTAACAACAAGAAGAGACCTAATCAGCGAGTCAGGATTATATCCATTGGAGATATCACATCATAATCTAGTTTATGTTACAATGAAATTAAAGAACAAAAGACCACCTCTAAATTGCATTAAAATGAGAGATTACAAGAGACTTGATCAGGATAAATTTCAGTCTGATATCGAATCTGCACCATTTCATATTGGATCAATCTTTGACAATGCAGACACCAGGCTTTGAGTATGGCAGAAACTATACTTTAACATATGCGATGAGCATGCTCCTTGGAAACAGGTCATAGTTAGCCATAAATCTGTGCCATGGATAACAAGTGACATTCGTTACGAGATGAATGGAAGATTTAAATTATATAAAACAGCAATCATGACAAAGAGCTCTACATCAAGACAGGAATACAAAAAGGCTAGGAATGAAGTTACTTCTGCTTTGAAGAATGCTTAAGTGTCCTTTTTTTCAAACCTGTTTATAGAAGTTGAGAAAACAGGCAAATACTGGAATTTACTTAATAAAGCAACAAAGCCTACCAAGTGTAAAGACATTGAACCTTTAGAAAGAGAACTACTTGAAAAAAATACTTGATGACAAAGAAAAAGCATGCAGAATAAACTCACTCTTTGCAACAATAGGAAACAATTTAATCAACAGTCTTCCTACTCCTGGGGATGATGAATTTCGTCTTGAAATACAACAATGCCAGCCACCACAACTGGACAAATTTAAAACAGCACATGACTTTGTGTGGGAAAAGGGAAGCAGCTGACGATGAAACTGGGCTGCCCATTGGTACTCCTTCTTGTTGCTCGTAGAGTGCTCTGTTGTACTCAAAGTATGTGGATCTCAGGACGAAATTTAGAAGGTCTGCAATCTGGGTAGGTGTGAGTGCTGTGTGGTCTGGTAGGCTTGGATTGTTGTTGAGTCTATGTAACATGGCCTGTACTGTTTCTTCTATAGGGACAACCCATGCAAGAAAAAATGAAAGAACATGACAGGGATATGTGACTCGCACACACTCAGAATCCCACAGTTTCAGAACATGCTAATGGCACCAAACACAAGCCGCTGTGGAATGAAACCAAGCTTCTTGACCGAGAAAGCCATTGGTAGCCAAGGTTGATTCATCGACATGAACGTTGCCAGCAAAAACTCCCACGTTATAGAAACCACCTTACATTCCTTACCGGGTGCATTAAGAATTGAATCATCCCAAGAGACCTACGAGTTCCCTCACCAGTACCCACCAAAGGCACCTGAAAAGCCACAGAACTAACGTCCTTGTGATTTCTGAGGGAACGAATACAACTGACAAGGAGAGCCATAAAAGATGTGAAGGAAGCCCAATCCAAAGAAAGAAATATCAGATCACTCTCTCTGAAGATGTGAAGAGTCTACTAGAAAAGATCAGTACCAACACCCAGCGAGTCTTCAACAACACCAAACAGCGACAGAAACAAAAATTTGAGAATCTCCTCTTTCTGCAAGTCAACCTCAACACCCAACGTTGACCAAACAAACTGGGTCGTTAACCTGTCTTCCAGAACACTTAGCAATGCAGAAACCACCCTGCTCAAGAAAGGACTAAACTTCACAATTATGCCGACCAACATCATGGCCACAGAAATAATCGTGAAGGTAGAAACAGCCATCAGACCACTCAGCATGGAACAATCCGACACATTTCGAAAAACCGTGAACAACGTATTCCAAAAGCCTCAAACAGGACCATTCCACCATGATCCTACCAGCAGACAAAGGCTGTGCAAGTGTAGTCCTTGACGCAGTAACCTACCACTCCAAGATGTCAACACTGATCAAGACCGGACAGTACAAACTCCTGCACAAAGAGCCAATAGACTGCTTGAGCCCAAAAGCCATGGAAAAGCTACGACAACTCAAACAAAGCAGGAACATATTGGAGACCGAATACAACAAGATCAGGCCTGTGCTGTATTCGATTTACGTTTACATTAATTCAGCCTCGCTTCCGTTCATGATTCGATGTATGATCACTTCCGGTAATGGCGACGACACATGTTAGAAATTATTAAAAGTTCTGTGTTGAAATCCAAGAATATATCTCCGTTTCTCGTGCCATCCGAACACCACATGGTGTCAGAAGTGAACAAGAAGATATAAACTGTGTCCAGAACGGATATTTAGCGATCAGTGATCAGGAATTACGCGGAAATATGGCTACGAATCTTCCACCACCGAAAGCTCTTTGTCTATCGGGAAATGCAAGTGAGAATTTCAAGTTGTTCAAGCAGCAGTACGAATTATATGTGAACGCCATTGGATTATCTACTGCCAGTAAGGAAAGGAGAAGTGCTATACTGCTAAATCTCGCAGGTGAGGAGGTGCTGAAAATCTACAATGGCTTCACATGGGCTCCAGCTGTAGGTGACCCCGAAGGGGAGGAACATGTACCAGCAGAGGACAAACTGGATCCGGAATTAATTCTGGAGAAATTCCAGAGGTTCTGCACGCCGAAAACAAATGTTACTTATGAACGTTACAAGTTTCACAGGTATACGCAATCAGAAGGTGAGAGTTTCGATAATTTCTTATCACAAATTAACACTCTCGTGTCTACGTGTGCCTACGGTGAACTAAAGGACGATTTTGTCAGAGATAAGATCGTATTGGGTATAAATAGTGATAAGGTCAGAGCACGGCTGTTGAGAGATGGTGAACTGACTTTAGAAAAAGCGATAAATGAGTGTAGAGCAGAAGAATGTTCTGGAAGGTGGGCTCAGGATATAAAAAGGAGAGACTTCTAAAGTGCAGGCAGTTCAACATAGGCGGAAAGGAGGCCCTCGTGACAAGGGACCACGTAGTAACGGGCAGCAAAGAAGTGCATCAAATTGCTCCCAGGCGTCGAATAGCCGGTCATGCCGGTGGTGTGGAAAGGAGGTGCACCCCAGAGAAAGATGCCCTGCAAAAGACAGTAAATGTAACAAGTGCAAACGCCCAGGACATTGGGGCAAGGTCTGCAGGAGTAGTAAAGGAAAAGGGTCTGTACAAGAGGTAGCAGAAGTGCAGTCTGACTCAGATGAGTACTACTTCTTAGGAAGCATCAGTGATGAAAGTTACTCTATTGAGAGTATCAACAACAGGAAACGTAGGAGTGCATGGTTTACGGAAGTCCAGGTGTCAGGTCAGAGCCTGAAATTTGCTGTTGATACTGGAGCAGATGTGACAGTCATTTCCAAAGCTGTGTATGATACACAGTTTTCACACTTCATTTTGCAGAAGCCTGACAGGCCTCTTAGTGGCCCAGATCAAAGCAACCTTTCAACTCTTGGATTCTTTACTGCAGAACTAAAGAAAGGTGATCAGACAATCACAGAGGATATATATGTGTTCCCCAAAGGCTCTCTATTGCTAGGTAGAGACGCTTGTGCAGATCTAGGTGTCGTTAAGTTCATTGGAAAAGTTACGTCAGATCCTATCCAGTCAGCGGAGTTCGGATCAATGTTCAAAGGCTTAGGAAAGCTAGAAGGAGAATATAAGATTAAGATCGAGCAAAACGCAGAGCCATACAGTGTGATGACTCCCAGGAGGATATCTATTCCACTACTTTCCTCTAGCCAAAGCTGAACTTGACAAGCTTATCGAGCTAGATGTTATAGAACGGTGCACAGAACCATCGGAATGGTGTTCTCCTATGGTCGTGGTGCCTAAAGGAAATGGCAAAGTGAGGATCTGTGTGGATCTCACGAAGCTTAACGAAGTAGTGAAGAGAGAAAGAATCATGCTCCCCACAGTGGATTATACAATTGCTCTGATGGGAGGTGCTAAGGTTTTCTCTAAACTGGATGCCAATGCGGGCTTCCACCAAATCTGCTTGGATGAAGATTCAAGGAAACTGACCACGTTCATCTCACCATTTGGTCGATTTCGATACAAGCGAATTCCCTTCGGTATCAAATCTGGCCCTGAGAAGTTTCAGAGTGAGATCTACCGAATACTAGGTGGTCAACAAGGTGTGGTATGTCTCATGGATGACATTGTCGTGTTCGGAAAGAACCAGGAGGAACATGACGAGAGACTCGTACAGACATTAACACGGCTGAAAGCAGCAGGTGTCACCTTGAATAAGGATAAGTGCCAATTCAGCAAAAGCCAGATTGACTTTCTAGGTCATCGGATCGGAGTTAATGGTGTGGAAAGCTCTCCAGAGAAGGTTGAGGCTATATTGAAAATGCGTGCTCCAGAGAATGTGAGTGAGGTAAGAGGTCTGATGGGTACAGTGAACCAGCTCATGAAGTTTGTACCCAACCTTGCTACTATGACACAACCTCTACGTGAACTCTTGAGCTCTCACAGTGCATGGTGCTGGGGTCCAGCACAGGAACAGGCTTTTAAAGAGATTAAACAATGCTTGACGAGCAGCCCAGTGTTGCAAATATATGATCCTTCACTAGAGACCAAGGTGTCAGCAGATGCGTCTTCATACGGACTTGGCGGAGTGCTTTTGCAAAAGCACGGTGACAGGTAGGCGCCAGTGGCGTATGCGTCCAAAAGCCTTCTGGATGTAGAGAAAAGGTACGCCCAGATTGAAAAGGAGGCCTTGGCTAGTACCTTCGCATGTGAACGATTCACAGATTACATTCTGGGAAAGGATATTATACTAGAGACTGATCATAAGCCTCTTGTACCACTGCTATCCACGAAGGAGTTGGATCAACTACCCGTACGTATTCAACGAATGAGAATGAGGCTCATGAGATACTCGTTCACACCTGTTCATGTGTCGGAAAACTGTTGTACACTGCCGACACGCTATCCCGTTCTCCAACACCAGCCAAATCAGGTGATTCATTTCATGAGGAAGTGAACTTATATGCTCATCAAGTCATAGCTGGAATGCCTATCAGTGATAGTAAATTAGATGATATTATGATCCATCAACAGGAGGATGAAGCATGCAGGCAAATTATGAACTATGTAACTGAAGGTTGGCCTGAAAAACATAATGTCAAGGGTTTAGTCAGCCCTTATTTTGCTCATAGAGCAGAGCTGACAGTGGTTAAAGGGCTGTTGATGATGGGACCTCGAGTCGTTATACCATCGTCTATGAAATTGGAAGTCCTGGATAAGATCCACGACGGTCACCAAGGGATTGTCAAGTGCAAGGCATTGGCCAGAAACACAGTGTGGTGGCCAAGCATGATGAAGAATATAGAGGAGTTAATTGAAAACTGTCGCAAGTGTCAGTCTAACAGGAAAAATCCTCCAGAACCTCTAGTTCCTACCATGCTCCCACAACGACCATGGCAATACACAGCCACTGATGTCTATGAACTCAATAAAAGACTGTATTTAGTAATGATTGATTACTACTCCAGATGGATAGAGGTAGCTAGTCTGAGTTCAACCGCCTCAGCAGAGGTCATAGACAGGATGAAACGTGCATTTTCCAGATTCGGAATTCCAGATCAAGTAAAATCTGACAATGCCAGCTACTATACATCAAGGGAATTTAAGATGTTCACTTTAGATTACGGGTTTCGACATGTCACTAGCAGCCCAGGTCATGCTTCAGGCAACGGTGAAGCAGAGAGAGCAGTGCAAACAGCTAAACGTCTCCTAGCTGGCTCTCAAGATCCTTATCTTGCTTTGCTACAGTATAGAGCGACACCATTGGCTAATGGTTATTCTCCAGCTGAGCTAATGATGTCAAGGAGGCTAAAAACCAAAGTGCCGGTGGCCCCGTCTCAGCTGTCCCCAAACCTTGTGCAGAATCATGCCCTACGTCAGTTTGAAGACAATCACAAAACCAAACAGAAGCTGCACTTTGACAGAAGGCATTCAGCGAGGCCTCTTGTTCCCTTAGAGAAGGGAGATGAAGTGATGGTACAAGACAGAGGACAGTCTGGAATAGTAGTGGAGAAGTGCACACCTCGTTCTTATGTGATCCATACGGACACTGGGTCATATAGAAGGAATAGAGTACAGATCAACAAGATACCACCCCCACCCCCAGCTGCAGCTACAGCTCCAGCCAAACCCACACCGGTGCCAGTACCTCCATCACCTAAACTTCCTTCACCCCAAACAGCTAACACTGCAGAAGGAACTGGCACATCAAAAGTGTACACCAGATCTGGCCGTCAATCTAAGCCCTCATCTAGATTGAAGGATTATGTGCCATAAGTGAAGTTATACTTTCTGGCCAGATTTTCTCTGGTTTCTCAGACAGAAAGTCATAACTATGAACGCGTATTCTAGTGTGTGTGAGACTTAGTGCAGAGACAAACGACAATAGCTACCCAGGATGTGTTTCTTAACAAAATGACGATTACTTGAGGACATTTGATTGACGTTGTTTTGATTTTGAATTTCACGCAAGATAAGAAACAAGTATGTCTAAGTAGTTTCTCTTTTATTATCTTAAAGGGGGAGATGTGCTGTATTCGATTTACGTTTACATTAATTCAGCCTCGCTTCCGTTCATGATTCGATGTATGATCACTTCCGGTAATGGCGACGACACATGTTAGAAATTATTTAAAGTTCTGTGTTGAAATCCAAGAATATATCTCCGTTTCTCGTGCCATCCGAACACCACAAGGCCAAAGCAGAAGCAACCTCCCAGAATCTACATTGTACCAAAAATACATGAAGCCAACGCACCCTTCAGACCCATAGTGTCCTGTGTCAACACCCTTGCTTATGATCTATTGGGTCACCTAGCTAGAATTTTGTCTCCTCTCACAGGTAACTCTAACTACACAGTGAAGAACTCAGAAGAATTTGCAAACATAATCAGTAAAGAGACCATCCAAACAGACAAAATAATTATATTCTTTGACGTTGAGTCACTATTCACCAATGTCCCTATAGAAGAAACAGTACAGGCCGTGTTACATAGACTCAACAATAATCTGAGCCTACCAGACTGCACAGCACTCACACCTACCCAGATTGTAGACCTTCTAAATTTTGTCCTGAGGTCCACATACTTTAAGTACAACGGAGCACTCTACAAACAACAAGGAGCACCAATGGCCAGCGCAATTTCCATCGTAATTGCCAATCTGCACATGGAAGCTTTCGAAGAACAAACCTTAGCTACTGCCCCAGAACCATGGAGAGTATGGAAGTACTATATAGATGACACGTTCACCATTGCTTAGTTACTGGTCCTTAACATATAATAAGTGAAATTAAAAAATACAATAGAACGACCAGGAAAAACTACATCAGTATTGAAATACTACTCATGGGACTTGGAAAAGCATGTTGCCATGGCAGTGTCATTAAAACATATTTTAGTTAGTAATATATACAGGTGGGTTTGCTACAAAATGTATATTTTTTCTTGTAAACAGACTTAATTATTTATCATTATGAAATTAATTGAAATCTTGCTTAAATTTAAACACTATAGAAATGGGATTGACCTTTGGGCAAAAAATAGACTATAGGACTATAGAGTTTGATATAAATCATTATGTGAGGAGACAGGACAGCAAAGAGAACTACAGAAATGGCAACCAAATTATGTGTATTTTATTCCATTACTCAGTAATCACTGTTACGTGAAATATTTGAAAGCTAACATATTAAAGCCAATTTTTTCTGAATTTCTGTTTGCTATTTTGTCTCCTTTATCAACAACCTAGGACTTAATATGGGCTAATCAAATGGTATAATGGGAGGGCACAAGTTAACAAGTGCTGAGCACATCCTTATGATTCTGTCAATTGCCAGCACTTTGGATTCTGGAGGTCCACTCTCATTGCATATGACGAGGTTAATAGGAAGTGCACTCTAAGATAGTGTACTTACACTGTAGCAGACCAATCACTCTCTCCACATGGATTCTGACGCTGGTGATGCCTCTTCTCTTTTCAACCTTGACAGAGTCCAGCTGCATCTTGCCAGTGAATGCTGGTATAACCAGCTTAGCTTGCTTCAGGCCAACACTTTCTGCTATCGTGAACCCCACCTACTATGTCGCCAGGCATTAGTTTGACCAGCAAGCCACAATTTTCATTCAAATATTTGTCTGAGGTTCTACCTTCCTGTGCTTGAGATATATAGGAAATTGTTCCTTGTGGTGTAATCCCAATCAATACTTTAATTGTATTGTGGTGTTTATGGGAAGGAAAAAGTTTGTGCTTGTGCTAGAAGGTTTGTTGGTCGATCAATAAAAACTTCAAAGCAGTCTATGATCACAGTCACTTTTTTGCCAAATGCTTACTGGAAACACATTGGCATTGGTTTCCATAGCTGATTTCTGTCTGGCCAGTAAATGAGTGACAACAAACAAGAATCTATTACAGTCAACCATCAAGAAAATATCCTGGATACTGTTGGTAGAGATACTTGGAGATGGAATATTAAGTCGAAGCTTGATCAGAACCATTATAAATTCCTGAAATTTGCTCAGAGTTTGACTGCGCTGAGTGATACTTGTAGAAATGTGGTCGAAGACAGTCAACCGAATTTCCGTGGAAGGCAATCCAGTATGAAAACAAACTTTTTTCTCTGTGTTGAAACAATCTTCAGTTGGAGGCTGATATCCATTCCCAGAAAACATGTACTCTAATTCTTCACTTCGAGACATGGAAGATGTAATCTGGCAATCTTTGTTCTCAGTCTAGATGAAGACGCTATGCATGCAGCATGGGTCGGTTTGACTTACAGAGCAGGAAACAGAATCATCATGATCACAGCTTGAACACAGATTTGATTGATTTTCCTCTTCTACAGTTTCTTCAGTAGATGAACCCTCTCCTAAGTCAATATTTTCGAGGGCCAATCCCCTAGCATCTAACTGTTGGCATTTAACAGCAGCATACTCAAGGCATTCAAGAGGTCTCTTTTGTCTCTTCTTAAATCAAGCAGCTCTCACTTCAATGGCTTCATGATCTACTTTGCAATATTTAGTTTTACCAAGATTCAAGGTGGGCACCCAGTCATTATTAAATCTATCCCGTTCTTCTGCTTTATCTTCCTGACTCAAAATGCCTTCTGCAGACTCTTTTGTTCTTCAGTACATCCTTTCATTGTATATTGTTGCGACTTATTACCAAAATACACCTTTCTCATCTCTCTCTGCTCAGTTCTTCAGCTTCTTCTCCTTGTTTATCAACAACAGAAGGTATCCTGAAAAACCCTATAGCCATGTCTTTTCTGCTGTTACTTGAACAATCTCCAATAATACAGTGAACCATGACATAATTTGCTCTACGTGCATGAAATGATGCGGTTTGATATGCTTTATTTACATTCATGCGACACCAACATGGTGGATAGTAACTGTCATTAAGCAGTTAGTCACATGAATGAAAACCAAGAATTACGGCACTGTCTGTGGGAATATACCAAGGATAATGTGAAGAATGTTCTTTCTGATATCAGGCTTTAAAAGGTATAGGACACCCAGCACATTTACAGGTAGGATGTTACTGCCTCCTTTTCCATCACACACACCTTTTTATACAAACATTTTCTTTAACCCTCTTGCTCCCAAGATTGTATTTAGAAATCTCCTAACTGCTTGCCATACAATGATTATGATTTAGATTACAAGTTTAGTTATTGGAACGCCATTGGGTGATTCCTTTAGTGCCTAGCTGGCAGCACTAGCTATCCCTCTGATAAAACATCAAATTTACTGTCTCAAGGTTGGTTGTTTAATCACCATATTTGGGAATAGGCAGTTAAACACATCCTTATGGCTCTGGCCTACTCTAGATCATTTGTGAAAGCTATTTCATCCAGTATTTTAACATGATTTCCTTTGGACTTGTGGCAATGCCTGACTGATCACAGCATTTCAAGAGTAAAACCAACATGTAGAGGTCAACACAAAAGAATTGGAGTCAGTCACAGGCTTAGTCAAGTCCTGCAGCCTGATTTCACCCCCTTTTGCGTCTCAATTCCAATTTTTCAGTCTTCAACATATCCACTAAGTCTACTGGAAATCTTGAAGGTGAAGCTCTTTTGCATAATACTTCGAAGGAGTCATTAAATATTAAATTTATCACCTCTGCTAGTATTCCAGTCAATCGCAACATCCCACAGAATCTCAAGAGACGGCACGTGGGATCTGGGGCCTCAGCAAGGACTTGCTCACAGTAATTCATATTATGTCCCTAAATTTATGGTTACAAATGTCAGGTCAATTGTACCAAAGATGAGTGAAGTGTGCGAATTTGTGTTGTGAAACAACATAGGTCTCCCTTTATCACTCAAAATGGCTCAAGTAATCAATCGCTGTTTCAGTCATTGATATTCCAGGCTAGTCAGTCCTATGTAAGGACTGTTTGTCTGATTATCATGGTGGTGGTTTGTCTCTACATCAGTGCAGCAATTTGTTACAAGTGACTGAATGATCTTTCATCCTGCCCTGATCACGAGGTACTGTGGGTTCAGCTACACCCTAAATGCCTGTCGCAGGGGATTTCTTCCCTGATAGATCTATCATCCACGTGGGTCCACCACTGAGAACGAGTTTATGCAAGAACACTTGTTCCAGTCAGTGCAACTTGTTGAGTCATGCTTCCCTGATTGCACTCTTGTTGTGGTAGGAGACTGCCACAATAAGAGCGCTATCAATTCAATAGATGAACACCTTAAATTACTCATTCTCAAATGACAGAAAGACTTTCAAGACGGCAGCATGGAGTCAATGCCGCACAAATTCAACAGGAATGCTATTAATCATGAAAGGAAATCGTTCAAGGCCTCATTTTACAAGTCTAATGCCAAGCATATGAAGGAGGAGAATCCCAAGATTTGGTGGAAGGTCAGGAGCTTGTGCGGTTTCAACTCAAACTCGGGAACATTTCTAGTCACATCCATACTGAAGGAATTGAAAATCTTAAGGACCAGGATATTGGAAATGCAATCTACTAGGCCCTTCTTGAGCCTCTTGAAGAATATTACCTGCACCAACCACTGACCAAACTTCACATCGAAGAGGAAACGCCTGAGCCTCCAGAGTTTTTGGAAATGCATATTTTTCAGTTACTAGCTGAGTAAACCTATCTAAGGTGTGTGGTCCAGATGAGATACCAAACTGAATACTCAAGGAGTATGCTGAACTTTTGTCCCTCTCAATCAGCAGAATCATCAACCCCTCTTTCAAAGAGCAGTCTCTTCCGAAAATCTGGAAGTTAACGAACATGTCTCCTATACTGAAAGTGAATCGGGTTGAAGGCCTGAAGAAGCATCTCAGACCTATCTCCCTGACTCCATGTCTCTTGAAAGTTGCAGAGGAGTGTATGGTACTTGATTAAATAAAGCCTGGGGTTCTGGATGTACTAAACCCAAATCAATATGGAGCTGTTCCCAACTCGTCAACCACCCAGGCTCTGATACACATGCTCCACAACTGGTCCATGGAAACTGATGGCAAACAGTGCTACAGTTAGAACTATTCTCTTTTATTTCAAAAAAGTGTTTATGGGTTATAGAATACTCGTAGAGAAATTGTACAGGTTGAAACTGTCCACAAGAATTATCAATTGCATCATAGATTTCCTTTCTAACTATCCAAGTGGGGGTCAGTGCCCTCCAGGATTCCTCAGGGAACAAAATTAGGCCCATGGCTATTTATTGTACTTATAAATGATTTAGATGTTGATAATTTAGCTAATGTATGGAAGTATGTTGACGATACAACTGCATCTGAAGTTGTTTCCAAGGGCAACTGAGGTTGTGTCCAGGTGATCGTGCATAAGGTTGCAGAGTGGTCTATGCAGAATAGAGTCCAACTCAATAGTGACAAATGTAAGGAACTCAAGATATCTTTTGTAAAGGGCTAGCCCCACTTTGTGCCTATTACAGTAGATGGTTATGAACTAAAGAGGGTATCTGGACATATCAAGCAATCTCACATGAAACAAGCATATAGCGACGTAATCAAGGTGTCAAAGTGCCTGTATTTTTTAGTGCAGTTAAAAAGATCAAGAGTTCCTCAGCAGGACATGTCCACTTTTTATACTGCTTGTATATACTCTGTTGCTACGTAAGTGGCACCTGTCTTTTTTTATGCCTTGCCAAAGTACCCAAAAGACGAGTTGTGAGTTGAAAAGCAGGCAATGTCTATAATATGCCCAGGACTGCCCTATCAGTCTGGTGAACATTGTCCCTATTGCAGATTTCATCGCAGGGATATGTAGTAATACCTCTGACACCCTTATTAGGGTCCTTGAACACCATCTGGACAGTTTTATCCCACTTAGTGGACCACCATGTTATGCTCTAAGGTGCAACAAGCATTTCATCGCACCTAAATGCAAGACTAATCGATTTAGGAATTGTGAGGAGAAATTCTGTCTTGTTCACTTGTGGAGTTAAAGGGTTAAATGACACTCTAAAGTCTGGAATTCTTTCTCATGAATGGTTTCAGAGTAAAATAAACAAAGTTTAGGGAAAATTTGTGTTTAGTTAATGTAGTGGGGTCAAAAACCAAGGAGTGAGAAAAAAAAGAACACATTCTTATGCAGCTGGTGAAATGCATGTCATGACCATGAACAGTAGCTTGCTATGGAGAGACATTTAGGAACAGGTAAGAGGTAGGGTCCCAGATCCTGAAAAAGGTTTTCCAGTAAACACTCCCAATTTGTAGAGCATAGTGCTTAGTAATACAAGCTTTTTCCCTGCCAAGGCTTTCAAGCAAAATTGTAAATGCCAACAAAAGTTAGCAATACAATTGTATGACGAATAAATTTACTATTCGTGGCAAACAACATTAATGCTTAACACCTACCCCAGGAATACAAGGAGAAAATCATACAGTTTCAGGGGTTCATAAAAAAGCAAAGAAGAACACACCAGTACTCTCTATATCTTGTGACGAACACAGGTGAATTCTCAGGTCAATATTACAAGCTGACAAATGAAATAGTCAACAATACTTGGGAAAATTCAGAGTCTGAAGATACAGACAACAGGGAATGAAAAGAATCAATTGATGTTGGTATTAACATTTGTAGGAGATAGGTTCCAGACTAAAAACTACCTGTCATTTTCAAACTGAAAACAAAGCCAAAAAAGAAGCTATCTCAGGGATTATGTTTTGCCAGAAAGTTTTCAAATGAGGGTGAACAGCATGAGCAGGTTTCTATCATTCTCTCTTTTAGGGTTTACTTTGTCCATGCAAAAAAATTGAGCTTTGTTGAAGGTGTATTGTTTTACCAAAATTGAAATAAAATGAGATTGAGTCAGCAATGTTCAGGTTTACTTTAGGTCTGACACAGTAATTTGTTTTTAATGATGTTGTTCAGTAAGAACCAGTCAAACAACTGAGAATTAAATTATGGACCACAAATGTGTGGTGCAAACTAACTCACGAGTGAAATGGAGTTAGTCCTACTGCTGGAGGAGTAAATTTCATTGTTTGGTCATGGTACTTTTCAGTACCATGTTTTCATGCTTTCCACTTGATTTGTTTGAACTTCAGGAAATGGTTCATCTCACAAAACACAGAGCCACTTTCTCTCAACTCAACATCTTGAGTACATACTGATAATGCTTGGGTTATGATGAACATGCTTGTGATAGGATAATTTTATTCTAATGCTTGAAACTGAAAAATCAATCACTAAAATTGACAGTCATCGCATTTTGAAAGAAGCGTCTGAGTTCCAATCGTGTCTTGAAATGAGG